AATAGTTGATTTTGAAAGCTATTTTCAGATGGTAGATATCCAATGAATATTTACTCAATGAATGAATAAATAAATGAAGGCTGATTATTACCGGAAAGTTACCCATTTTCTCATCAAAACAAGTACACCATTTCTACCTAATGTTCCTGCCATTTTCCTATGTGGTTAAAACAGAAAAAATAAATAAATAAATAGCTTTCCTAAGGAAGGTCACAGCATGGTCAAAGACACTTAGCCGGAGTTAATTTATGTAATATACGATGTGCTGTCCATTACCTAAGACTTAGTCAAAGGTTAAATGAATAAATGGCTGCGTGTAACAATGGTATTTTTACAGCCTTTTGTCTTAGGCCCCAAGGAAATGTGCTGTCATCTTACCTGGGGAAGCACTCTGTATATGGCATTGCCACACTGAGTGACCACTAGGTCCTGATCAAATATTATGTGAAAAGGAAAAGCTTTGCAGAAAGTATATGGGCTGATGCGTGATTCCTGGGTACCATTCTCTTCAAATCTGTCAAGATCTTCATAAAAATCCTCTTCTTTTGACTCTTTTTCTTCAATTAAAAATTGAGTGTGATCGCATTCTTCATTTCTTTGCTGAATAACCTGAATATCAAAGGGGGAAATTGACATTAATTGTCTGCATTTCAGTTAGGTTAAAATACCTAAATATAAGAAGCCAGTTATGAGAACTGTACTTAGAGGATTAATCACAAAAATTTAATATATATGCAAATACTATACACGTCTAAGTTAGGAAAACATTTCTGGACATTGATCTATGAAATTTGAAGACTGTATAATTATTCACAGTGAAATTACAAATCTGACATCAGTTCACCATTATCTCAGGTGGACTCTGACAGAATTAGGAGAAAAGTATCCCCTTGTCCCAGTGGGCTCTGCCTCCTCAGCCAGGCACACTTGTACAGTGAACAATCTAAAAACCATACAAAGTGGCACTATCAAATATAATAAAAATGATACTTGAAAACAATGGGAAATAAAATGATGGAGATACATATTCAAATCCAATATAATTTTTTATCTATCAACTGTTAAGTATATAAAATTATAATACCAAATTCAGTAAGGTACTGAAAAAAGAGGCATCTCAAACAACACTAATGGGAAGGTATTTTGATTAATCTTTCTGAAGGATAAATTGATAATATGCATAAAAATACCTTAAAATTTTGTGAATTCTTTGATTTAATTCCAAACCTAGGAATTCCTTCTAAGAAAATAATCATAATTGTGAGCAAAGCTCTATAATTTGAAGAAATAACTACATTTCT